ACACACACACACACACACACACACACACACACACACACACACACACACACACACACACACACACACACAACACTTTTAATGAATTAAATACGTCATACGGTTTTAATAAAATGTTATTTTAATACTGTTACTGTGACGAATTAACAAGATTGTTTTTAATTAGACTAATGTTGTTAATACATCATTTTTTCCCTATACATTTATTTTAATTAGAATTATTAGGGACATAATTTTTGGGCTATTTAATTATTGCTTCTCGTGCGTACAAACATTTGTGCTGAATGTATATAATAATAAGTAATTTAAAGTATATAAAAATAAGAAATTTGCGAGGAATTGCGTAAGGAACAGCTTGGCTCATATATGTCAAGCTGTTTTGATGACAGGATGTAATTTTGCAAGTACTTTTACGACATACTTGCACTAAAGAAACGTGCACGTAGCAATTTCAGCTAAACTTCTTAATAGCGTTGAGTAAATGTTTCGACGATTTTGCTACGCAAAGCAAAATATATTCACGTCGAATCATGTGAAAACTCAGTATACATAAGTTTGTAACGCCGACGCAATACGAACATTTGAAAGTATGTAAAAGTAAAAATGTAAGAGAATTATGCTCAGATTTCATCGCAAATTCGTCTCGCGTCGTGGAGAGAAGACATTATTACTAGATTCATGTCGCTCGTGTCCGTTACGTTCGGAGAATCTATAAATACGGATTATGAGGAATGAAGAATGCGTATCAAGAAATGAAATGTCAAACTGTCTCCGAATGCCAATTGCTACCCAAGATATTCAATCGATATTCAATCGAGCAGACAAGGAGCAATGGGACCAATAAAGAGGATAACGTATTTCTATGTTAAATTACTTATCGAGCCATTGTGCCGATGAGTATATTGAAAACGTACATCTTCTTACATCAATCATATTTTAAAGAATTCTATTTGAAAAAGCTAATCTCTTATGCAATTTGTCGATCGGAATATTAATTAATATTATTTTTAAGCTGTATAGCCTTTACGCACGTTTATATTTTAAACATCAAAAATAAATTTCGTTACTTGATTATAGATCCCATCTTTGCATTAAATTAAATAATCTTTACATAAAATTAGATATCACGTGGATTTTATAAGGTACACAATTTTCCGCTTTTCCTGAGAAACTTCTCTTACGTTTTCGAATTTCGCTGCGTTTTTTTTTCTATTTTGGATGCCCAAATGTTAATGCATAACGCGGCTCGAGAGTCCGCAGTGCGGAGTTCACTGCAGCGATCTAATTTTGTCGTATAGATACCAAGCAATGGGATAGTCGTCGTTTCGGGGTTCCATCGCCGATCTATCCCGATATATCCACGAATGATCAATTCTGCAGATACTTCTCGGACTCGATCCAGGCAGAATTCCCCCCGCGAGCGGATCGACAAGCGCAATCCGGAATTGGCCGAAAATGGGTATAACGGGGATGCCGCCGGCCTGGCTTCGCCTCGTCTGACTGACAAGGAAGAGGGGTGGTTTCTATCGGAAATGGGCTTCCGACCGACCGACAGCCGTGCCCATTTCGCCGGTGCAATTTAACTTACTCCCCGCTTTTCGCGCTTCTATCGCGCGGCCTCGCGTCTCGTCGCCAGGATTCGCCGCCGGTTGGCGATTCGGAGGAACGAGCATAGACCGACATTGATAATATACAGCAGAATGGCCCGATTCGACCGACGCGGCGCGATCAAAGGAAGCGAGAAGATGCTTGGCCGCGATCCAGCCGGCACCGTTCACCCGCTGCATCTCTGATCATTTTTCCAACGGGTTCATCGAACCGCGTTTGAATACGGACGTCGAGTTCGCAAGAAGCACCGATAGAAATGCAAAGCTACGCTCGGAAGGACGATGTCCTTCTTGGAACACTTTTGCGCATGCAATAATACACGAGGTGGTCGAGATATACAGGGTGATAATCAAGTACTCTAGAATTTTAGGAGATGATTCCTCATATTAATTTAAGACGAAAACTTCATATGATTATATGTCTAATTTTCAAAAATATAAAATGTCAAAATTGAAGGAAAAATGTTGTTTCTTCCAAAAATTTGAAACTGTTGAAAACCACTCGAGCTATTTTGATGGAACATATAAAAAGTTAAAATAATTCCATTGGTTTTTGAAATTTATTTCGGACATGTATGGTTGTATAAAGTTTTCGTCTTGATTTAATATTTAGTTTATTTAGTTTCTACACACAACACACACAATTAGTAGAATCATCACTTAAAATCTTTTAGAATACTTAACTACCACCCTATATATTTCCTCTATAACAAGCTTTCAAACTCGTCCAATGTCGGTGGGTTCACTTCTCAATGTTACAAGCACAGAGAAATATAGCTCACACTATTATCCTTTTTTTTTAGCTACGTGAAAAAATTATAAAAATTATTTATAACACTAAAATTGAAAAGATTTGAATATCATTATTAATTTTTCGATAAATTTTATCGAGGTCTTCTTTTCGTGATATAATATTTTTATATTTATTCACGTATCATTTATGCAAAAATTTGTGCAAATGCATTTTAAATATAATTATTACAATATAATATATTCTTTTCTAGAATTATTATAATATAATAAAAGTAATATTATATTAATATTGTATTGTAATAGCTTATAATATCAATTTCTAGTCACTAAAGCGAAATGTCTAACGTTTTAATACTCAGGCTCTGGAATGTTCGTGTTTCCCCTCAGTAATTTCGTAGAAATAAAGAGACGATGTTAAGTACGAAAGTGAGAAACGCACGTGCGTCAATGCAGGAACGAACGTAAAACTCTACTACACTACCGTTGGTTAACGACGGAACTTTTGGATGTTTTAAGGGTTAATGGAGGGCATTCGCGGCCGGGTGGCAGTACCGAGATCAAAGCGATAATTTCTGGCTCGTTTCCAACTCCAACTTGATAGAAGCTAAGTCACATTTATTTCGCGCCAAAGAGACTCGGTTCTACAACGACAAATAGTAGGATGTACCTCTAGAATGATCGTACTACTGGAAAAGAATTTAAGTGGATTCTATTATCTCTTCATAGACATCGTAAAAGTTTCGTGGCACTTTATCATCCTGCGAGCGGGAGATCAAACTTTGAAGCTTCGGGAAAAGTTAATTTTCAATTTGCCGAGAAATCGACATGCTAAAATATTAAGCAGCGAGACGTCTATTGACGGTTTAGCTCCGTGAGAATGTGAGTACATAAACGGCGCGAGCAATTCGTCTTCTTCCTTTCAAAAAATTTCTGATCGCTTGGCTTGAAAAATCACTGTTTTCTCTTTCGGACAGTTCTGGTCGTCAGCTTCGATCCCTAAACGACACGCCGACATTGTCTGTCCGAAGGCGCAACCTGAAACTGACAATCGCAGACGAGGCTCCTCGAAGATCGATGGATCCTCGAGACGCGGTCTTAACGACCTTGTTCCATGTTACCGATAGCTTCTACCGGAACGTCGTTACTTTCCTTTCAGTCCACTCGATCAAGGCACTCCCCCTAATGAACGGTGTCTGTAAATAGTTTGCACGTAATAAAAGTAAAGACACTGTCCACGCTGTTTTTATAAATCATTGCCGGTGACGGAAAAATGTGGCCGTTATTCCTACGGTTATCTCTGCAGAAACAAAAATTCCATTCGGTCCGCGTATTTTGTCACAATACTATTTTTGAATCCCTCTCTTTTTTTCCCCCATTCACCATATCATCCAGCACCGCACCTTTTTGTACGCAGTACGAGTACCTTTTTGTTCAAAAATACGACCGTTACGCGGATTTCGTTGAAGTTTGCGTACGATCGAGCAAAAAAAAGGAAAGAGAAAAAGAGAGAGGAAAAAAAGAAAAAAATATCCTTGTCGATGGCTCGTTTATTTCGAAGGTTTAATAAGGCACACTCGCTAAATATTCGAAACGAGAACAATGCACTATTACATTCGTCGAAGTAGTAGTTGGTTCGTGAATCGTTGCGTTGTTTTTGAAATTCCGCTGTGCCGGCAGGCATCGCGAATTCCCCTCCTCCCGCGATGGATTAATTTTCACGAAAGTATCTCTAGCCAATTAATCGGGAAATGCAGCCTCGTTAATTATCTGGAATTCTGAACAAGCGTGCGTCATGCTAACCGCGCGTTACCCTATTAACAAACTCGCTCCTCATTGTTATCGAGAAACACGATTCCGCAACTTGATTTGATAGATTACATTGACGCGTTTTTGAATTTGAATGATTCTTTCACGGTTTTCGGATTTCGCGGATTTCTTGCGGGTTTTATCTTACACGCGTATATGTTTTGTCCACTGTTTTGAGTTTATCCACGTGGAACGGTTGCCAAAAATTCTATCGGGATGGAATGTACGCGCATTTTTCAAGAAAAGAACGTATTTCACATGTTTCTAACTCGTAATGGCGAAGACTTAAATTACTATTCTGTCAGTTCTTATTTTTAAGTATGATTTTAAGTATAGTATAGTCACAAGCTAATTACAGAGTATTAATATCTTAAGACACTTTAAGACTTGAAATATATGAAATTAAAGGTAAATCTACAATCACATCTATAATGCGACCTTAAAGCGTAAAACTCAAGCTTCAAGCTTGAGTAAGAAACTGACTAATCACAGTCAAATGTGAAAAGAATAATCGATTTCTTACTCCTTAAGGCTTAAATTTTACGCTTTGAAATCTTATTGGCGTTGTTTTAGGACTATAGCACAAAATGTATAAGTACACAGCATAGCATAATATACAAAATATATGTAAAAGTACCAGATAACATATTTCTGTTCTCTAAATTTTTTGGAATGAAATCTTACTCTAAAGAATGAAAGTTGAGTCAGACTTGAAAAAGAGTGACTTACTTTTCAATCTTTAAGAGTGAGCTTTCTCTTTATAGGGTCAGATTCACTTTAAAAGTTTATAGAATGTAGAATTGGTCGGATGACCAATTAGACCCCAAATTATATTTAGCCGCCGTTATGCGCAATGTTAGGATGGCAACACAGAATCAATGCATAACGTATAACAAATGCATAATACATGAGAAAATGAATCAATCAAAGCCCTTTATTTTCTTTCCTTTTCTTGAAATAAAAGATTCTGATTGGGGTTGATTTTCTTATGTATTATGCGTTATGCAAAGATCTGTGCTCCGGTTTTTATACTTGGTATTCTTACATTATAGCATAATATAAGATTGGACCAGCGTGCATTCAGCAAAGTCTCCATATTAATCTACATAACATGCTCACTGATTCAGACGGTCTTATGCTATAGCTATACTTATACACTTTGTGTGCTGCAGTCTTTGCAATTAGCGCGGAATAAGTGATTTTCATTCGAAAGAGCGCGAAAAGTTTGTGCATATTTTTCCTCCAGTAAGAGGAACGCCTGATATTCGTTATTCAGCTGATCTCTCGGATCCATTGAGTAGAATTAAAGGAATTATCCCCTTGTGCAAACTTAATTCTTTTTCTTTCCTGCGTCTAAATCATATATGCATACGCAAGTAATTCCCTCACCGTCCTTCTCGACAGCATAGTCGTACATGACGCTTAATCTAAACCGGTAACTACTATTTGTTCGGATCTCTCGACAGTTGTGCAATTTCAAGTTTCGCAGGGAACTTTCAGTAATTTGAGCTGTAGGGTACAATGTCCCTTATTAATCAGGTAACATTGAAACGTGTTCTATACCGTGGAAATTAATATCTAAATTACTTTGTCGCGCCAGGAGCGAACTAACGCCGTGTTCCTTTCGCTACCTTCTGTCGCGAGTGCATTATTCTCCTTGTTTGCAACGCGATTATTCGTATCAAGGAGGAGTCACCGGCAGCAACGATGTACGTGTTTATCGTAGAACTGGCATTGTCAAGCAGCGACAGCAGACTTCACGCCGTGAACTTGCCGACACTTCTATACAGACTGCGTATATATCTCTATTGCGAGAGAGAACTGAGTTTTTCAAGGCGCGCTTTTATCTACTTCTATGGAAAAAGCCCTCGTAAATATCTGAAGATCATAGTGATTTTTCACCAATAACTCGCTCCATTACGCGAATGTCGCAGGCAGTCTCAACAAAGCTCAATTTCTCTCCCTTTCTCTCGTTTTCTTTCTCTTTCTCTCTGCCTCCCGCAGCAGCAACAGCAGCACTGGGCCGAAAGTGAATTTTCAACGCAACGGATCGATGAGACTGAATCAACAGCTTTTCCGCGTTTCCGCAAACGCAAATAGAATTGATACAGCCACAGCATCTCAGTGCCGTGGTACCGTTATATTTCGCCTGGAAACGGCTTTCAATTCCGCCTTCTCTTCTTCGTCACACGAAGCCGCCCCCCCCCCCCGGTTATTCCCAAGCGTATAATACTAGAAAGCTTTATTTATGAACACGACGAATTGAGTGGACGTGAGGTGAACGTTTGGGGATTCACGAAACGTTCGTTCGCTCCGTATCCCGCTTTATCCGTTTGTGCTTTGACGTTCGTTTACGGCCGCTCTCTCGGCTATGTACAAACGGTACGGTATAGGACAGGCTCGTCTAGGGACGCAAAGATAAAGCCCAAAGAAAATAGGAGAACTGAAGGGTAAAAGATATTGGATCCCGCGGCATTCTATCCATTTGATGTGCGCACGTTCTCGCGGTGGCATTCTCATATTCAGAAAATGTGACAGTCAAAGCCAAGGCAAATATGGAAAGGGAGAGTGAGAGATGGGAGCAGCATCGGGACGACACGAAATCGTTGCACGAAATTGTA